GGTAGATTATGAAACTGGCATCTGTAGTGAGAACAAACCAATAAGTGTGACTCCATAATATGGAGTCACCCTATTCATTCGTTTTTAATGTGATCCCATTTTGCACAGTTTAAAGTACCGGTACATGACATGCACAGATATCCCTCACCAAACTAATACTACCCATGGAAACCGTTAATATTAAGTACAGCAGCACGATTAAGCTTCAAAGTGGATGACTGTAAACCAACGAATCTTCGCCTGCCATGGCTCTCAAAGGGACTTAGCTGGCAAATACCGAGTCCCAACAAGATGGGAAAGCGCCCCGAGCAAGTCGGCAACCTCATGTTTGGGCAAAATAAATGCATCTGTGAATGGTGCGACGAAGATTTCACTATAACTCAGATATAGCTTGCTGAAAAAGCTTAGCGTGAGCTCGCACTGCTTAAAGCACCGACACAAAGAACAATCCTTAACATTTTGAAGGCTAGACTCCAATTCGGGCATAAGACTGCAGCGTATTCGTGTGGTAAATGAGACGAGGGCTGCACAATGCGTCGGTATTTTTGCCCTGGGCACGCTCGTCATAAAAGTACACATTATTTTTCGTGTTCGAGATATCGGCGACGACAAAGTTTTGAATTATCAAATTACTGCTGAAATAATCTGCTAAAGGATGACTGTGTCCATAATAAGACATGGAGAGACCCCCGACGGAATCCTCAGCTTGTATTTGAATGCGCCAGTTAGGTTCCTTAGCACTCGAAATATTTCTCTGGTCGCAACCATCCATTTCTCCTGCTGATACTTCATTGCAATCGTCACTTTCTTCACTTTCAAAATCCTTTTCACTGTCTGTAGATTCATACGTATCTGGAATGACTTCCTTGGGCAAATTTTGATTGGGAGCGCTTTTGGCAGCATAATGCTTAATGCAGGATGAAATAAATCGGCGCTGAGCGATGGCCTCGGTAAGGTGCATCTTCTTTTTTTTTTAAAAATTGCTTCTTTGTCGTCAGCACTCACACTTTTTTGCCGCAACAGAATATCTAAGCGCACACAGCAGTCACAAACGTCTTGTTTTGTGTGAGTTAAACGGACCCCAGGGTAGTAGTAAGTTCTGTACTGCGTAAAGCGCGTGTAGCTCAGCGTGCGTGCTCCAGGGTGTGCTCGCGCTACCTCATCGACGTATCTTGTATGCACAATGCCCCACGTCAGCTTTGCCTCGGTGAAGTACCGGCGGGGTCGTCGGTGCGAGCACGGGAAGCCATCTTCCAATACCCAGGTCGAGCAATAGGCCTTAAAACGATCGATGCGGCTGCCTCCAACAGAAACGATAGCTCAAACGACTTTCTCGGATAGTCCCTGCTGTAACAGCTGGAGGAGAACGCCTTCCGACTGCTCCCACTCGCGTCCTCCGTAGCTCGTTTTTCACGAGTCCCAGTCTGCTCTAATTTTCTTTACTGCTTGTTCGCCTAGGAGCTTGACTGCGCGCGAATATGCTGCTTCCTGTCTAATTGGACATTTGTGCCGCTTGCGTTGTGGAATCGTTGTTCGTGAGCCTTCACCACGTCTAGCCATATTTACCGGTGGGTTTCCAAACTGAGATTACATCCTTGCCTCAATTCAGTCACCAAAAATAAATAATTGCCATTTTCATCGGTTTTGTTTGGGGGATCCCGGGGTCCCGCCAATGCGTTCAAATGTGCTACTTCGTCCTGATTAATCGGGGAGCCGTCAGAAAGAGAAGCGTCGAGAGAATGACTTCTCCTTTCAGAACGTAAGTTTAATGACTGCGGTATCTGGCTGTACGGGAAGCTATATAGATTACGGAGATTAGGAAGCTCTGACTAGTACTGTAGACCATGTGTACATCCGGACACCCCAAAATTATATACAAACAAAAAACCGTGTCAGAAAAAGAGGATTTTTTTCTCGTATACAAAGTGCAAATCTTTCTGCTTGGTTCATTACTGCTCTTGCCCGTCAAGAAAATGCTGAACGACATCATCCGCGTCGCTGACGGTCTCTTCAACCGCGTGAAGGCGCTCTAGCTGTTGAATTACGATATTCTGAGGGACGTCAGCCGCTGGCTCAGCCATTTGACGCTTAAATCCACTTCTGATAACCTGTGTACCTAACTCACGCCACGCTGTCGTAGCCCAATGAATAGCATCGTTTCTAGACGGAGGTGAGAGCACAAACTTAGCGCTAGACTCGCTTGACGAATACGTACGCAGTTGCTGCGCAATGTAATCCACCCAACGCTTTCTCAAACGCTGCTTGAGTGGTCGAAACCAAGAGATATCTGCCGGTTGACACACAGATGTCAAGCCTGGTGGCACCTTCACTAAGTGAATGTTCAAAATTTCAGCGTGCTGTGCTGCTTCCTTTGTCCAGTGTGCTGAGAAATCGTCCCAAAGCAGGAGAACTGGAGATGCCTCGTCTCTATCGGCAAAATGGTAGTCTAAAAATGCGACAGACAAATCCGAATTCCACCAAGCGGAACTGTTACCATAGATTTGAACTTGAAGATCAGTCTGGATACTCTTCATTTGGCGCCATAATGTATCACCGAAACCGTGTTGAGCTACATAGTTGTAGGCAGCTCTCTCGGGGATTTTCGATGGGTCTGTTTTAACAACGTAGAATGGATCATATTGCTTACCTATTGAGTCTGCCAGAAACATTCCTGTTAAACGGTCCTTGTCCTTTCCTCCGCAGCGAACCCATACGGTGTTTGCCCCCTTTTTATTGATCGTCTGTTTGGGCAGATATTCAAAACAGATCCCACTTTGGTCTGCATTGTATATCTTGTCAACTCCAAGTTCCAGCTTGGTTCGTTCAACTTCACACCAAAATGCTCGTGCAGCTTCTTCCATGGCTTCTGGTGATTTCTGTCCTTGGCGAGTTTTAGCACGTAGAGATAATCCATGCCGCGACAAAAAACCTTGCTGCCAGCACCAGCTACCCTCAAATACGCCCTCAGGAATACCTTCAGTGTGTGCGATATCTACAGCCTGAAGCTGCAACATCACCGGGATATCGGTACGCCCTCACCACGTAGAGTATTAACCCACTCGACTAGGCCTTCTTCCGCTATCGCCGATAGAGTCGTTGCAGTGCCCTTCTTTCTGTCAGCTTTGAGGTGCGCTGTAGCCGAGGAAGATGCCTTGGACTCTATTTTCTCTCTATCCTTTATCCAGTCGTAAATTCTCTTCATCTTCGACTCTCGTTTGGGCTTGGTGAGATGGCTATAGAACTTATTTAGAGTAGCAGGCATGCCGTGATCTCGAACGTAGTTTATTATGTCGAGCTTTTTACTAAAACTTTCACAGTCACGTGTATGACCATTGTCACGGCGTCCGCTGCTGCCAGGTGCTCGCTTCCGCCCTCGTGCCATGCTGGAAAAACTCGCTGTGAGTGCCCGACAAGACGCTTTTCTGTGCTAAAATCGCACTATCCGTTACGATGGGTTGGGTAAAAATAAGTCTGTCCGGTTGAGCAAATGCACTTCAGTGTGATGGATACATTGCTGTGATTGGTCAGAGGGTGTGTCCGGATGAACAAAACGTCCGGATGTACACATGGTCTACAGTACGCACTTATTAGTAGTCTTGTCCAAAATGGAAAATCGATCGGTTAGTTCTTACCTTTTTTCTGTGAAGTGGCCCTATGAAAAAACAATGTGCCAAGACTACGCTACAAAAAGGAATATCACGCTTTGCAGATATTTTACCTCTTTTATAGGGAGTATAAAATCAATTGTCAAATGCCACTTATCATACTGTATTAATTTTATGTCTAATTTCGAGATAGTACTACTACTATCGCTATCTGAAATAGTAGTATCATAATATTATGATATTCGATTATGTGATTGACGGACGCGCAATCAAAAATACGCATAACATATCCAACACAGTTTAAGAGCTTGTTTTGAATTTGCAAAGACGAATTTTTTAAATATATTATTGGAGCGATTCCCCGACCCTCCAACCCAAAGAGTTTAGAATCATAGAAAAGGCCCAACCATCTAGGAATCAAAAGGCCTAAAAAGGCTGCAGATCCTGCCTGCGGTCTGGGAAAATAAACAGCGTTCCCGTTGGCCAGAAATAGTAACCCAGAAAGTCTCTAATTTTCCATCCCGAAGCGGCTTGAAGGTGGGAAGGCAAGCGTGGATCGTCGACTGAACCAGGTAACTCCAAAATCGGTGAACTTAATATAGTGATAAATATCACCTGGTAGACAGCTAAGTAAAAATATCACCTAATATATTTTCTTAGACAAATGATATTATTAGATACTGGTATCAGCTTAATACGAGTTAATGTGATATTATATATTTTTTTAAGATTGCGTAATCGATATTAATCCACTATTGCCGTTAAAGCTCGACCAGCTGAAGTATTACTAATCAATTGTGAGGGAAATGGTGTCCGGGACAATTGTGAGAGGGACGGCAAGGTTGGTGTGGTGTGGTGGCACTGCTGAGCGCATTAATCTAGCGTCATATGCTGCAGGTTTATGAGACGCACGATCTGGACGAGGCTATTGGCAGATAACAAGAGCAAATATCTTGACTTCGCTCTGTCGACCTCAAACAGCTGCAATTGTTTGCAGTTTTCCACCTCGATCGGCTTTGTCTGTGTCCCAGTGAAATACTAGAGCAAATGCTCGTCTATTTTAAAGCCTGCCATCAATACTGCTGTTTGACCGAAAGAGTCACAGAGGGTAAGGAGGCAAGAAACGTACTCAAGTGGGAAATTATTTTTCATCTAGTATCTATATTGTTCAAATTTCTGAGTTCATATTATAATATTAAGTTAACTTTTAAAAACTGAGTTACTATTGATATTTGATATTGAAAATAGTACTATTATTATAAAATAGATCATATGATATTTGGTTACCTCGACTCAGCGTACAGTATCAGGGCTAGGTAAATGTTTACCAAATTCCGGGCAGGAACCAGTTCCTCAAACACTTTGCGATTCGATCACCAAAAGCAAGGACCGACCATGAGCCACCAGAGAATACTTGTGCTGCTTATGGCTGCCTTCTTTGCTTGGGTTTCAGCACAAACAACCCCTAGCCAAGCCGACAGGTCGAAGATGATTGATCCCGATGTGCTCGTGAAGACCACGTCACAGTCAAAAACCACAATTGATACTTCATCCAACCGATTTTTAAGGTTCCTCGACGCAGAAATTCAAGATACAGCTCGTGGTGATAATGATGTAGACCACGAGGATAGAGGGAATACGCCGTCGCTGTCGAAGTTCGACGATCTGATACACAAAGTATTTAAATCCAATCCGGAGAAAGCGCAAATCGAGGCGTGGATACAGTCTCGAGTGCACCCTCAAGCGCTTTTTGATACCTTGCGTCTTGGAAAGAGTACGACGAAGCTGGACAATGATCCGAATCTCCTCCTTTGGTTTAAGCTCGTTGCTGCTTTTAGAGCTAAGAATGGCAACCAGGCGTTTTCGGATCTGGATCTCTACTACTTGCTACTGAAGAGAAACAGTGCCGAAGAACTGAAAATACTTTTCGAATCTTTCCTGAAGACTGAAGGCTTGAAGGATCTTGGCAAAAGTATGCAAAACTCGCTATCTGGTTCTTGGATGTCAAAAACCTTAAAACACGAAACAAGCCCAAAAATCGTTTACGATACCTTACGTCTTCAAGAGGCTGGCACGAAATTAAGTGATTCGCCAATCTTTCATCAGTGGCTGTCCTACGTGCAGAAGTATCGGGCGCAGGAGCGGAATCACTGGTTCGGAGACCGCGAAATGCTCGACCTGTTTCGAAAGACCATCGAGGAAGACGACGTAGAACACTGCTATATTTACTTCAAAACGTCCCGGGCATGAAAAACCATGGCGATGCGATGCAGCGGCTCATGTTTTTATCGTCTAAAACCAGCCGAAAAACGATGAACGACGTGTGGCTGAAATACGACGTATCGCCCGAAGAAGTTTGGAAGATTTTGCGCTTGGCAGAGACCAATTTGGACGCTTTGAACATTAACGCAATGTTCATTCAGTGGTTCAGCTACGTCAACTTGTACAGGAGCCACACAAAAAAGAACGTGTTCTCCAGCGGATAAATAGTGCGCTTCCTGGCGGAGAGAAAACCTATGCGGTCCGACTGGGAATTTGCAACAATTTTTCAATCACTCAAGGACGTCCCTGGCCTGAAGTTGTTTGCTGAAAACATGCAGACTTACCTGTTCCAAAAATGGCTGCACATGAAGTTTGATGATCCGAAGACTATTTCGCGTATGCTGGCACTTCCCTATCCCACTAATGCTGTGTACATGCCGAAGAACGGGCCCATTTACAAGACTTGGGAGACATACACTCTTTATTTTTCGGAGAGGAAGGGCGGAGTGTCGCTGCTGAATAAAGTGAAGACACTTCAACAATTCGCAGTTCGAAGAACTGTGGCTAGGGTTTGTCGTCCTGCAACCTTACGCTAAGCTCAGCAAGGTTTAGCATTTTTACAGTGTCATCCAATAACATAACTCGGATTTTTTTAAAGTGTAAAACCAACTTAATTGGTTGTCATCCTGCATCATCGTACAAAACCTAACTAAAGTTCCATGTTACGCCAGTGGGTTTGTATAAGCAGTAAAGTCGTCAACTCGCAGACAAAAGACCTGCACTCCGACCCCAAGGAAATGTATAACATTGAATTTTCTGCAAGGAGACTACACATTGTCTTAAACTCCATTACATCTACGTGTAATTCGCGTTACTACAGTATCTTGTAATAAGCGTCATGAGGTCCGAAGCCGAGCCCATCATGAAACTCAAGCGCAGGCATGAGTTAGATTTTGTATTACGCTTTCAACTCACAGAACCATGCAATTTCAGGCGGTCACGTATTGACAATATTTGAAAATTGCTAAAACTTGTTGGCACTTTTTGTTTCAGAATAAACATCGCTGTGGCTCCGATATCTATAATGTATTTAGAGCTTGGACGCTTAAAGCTTGCCGCACTAAGATACAGCTGAATTATCTATGGTGTGAAGCTGCGGCTAAAAACTGATCCGTTCCATTGTTTTAAAGTATTATATAAATACTTTATTATCGATATATCATTTAGTTAAATACAGAACTCGGTGGAAAATTCAGCAGTGGTCACAAATGAGCAGCCACTAAAGCTTGGTCAGTCGTTTTCTCTTCTGTTAGAGCGTAGAAGTCACCATTGATGAGCTGTGCAACCTGGACGCGATCGAGAAAGGCATGGTGGACGAAGACTGCCACGGTCAAGCGATTCACAGCAATCAACTTTACGCGCAATAGCTGGATTCGCCCGAAGCTTCATCACTAGAAGTCAGCTTTTTTATTAGATATCTATATATATATATATATGGTACCGGTATAAGCTAACAGTAAAAACGAAATGTTTAATCAATTTGTTCATTTACAGAGGCTCCAAGTAAAACAAATATCTCTGAGTCTTACTTATCCATTTAAAGTCTGTTATTGTATTCAGAATAAATGGCTCCACGAATATTATTGTAAAAATACTACTGTTCAAGTGTAAATAACATGTTCTTACGACATGACTGAAATTGCAAATGCTTTCGAAATGAAATAACCAAACATTCTGTAGTTTATTTCAACGCATCCTCGATGCTCGACGCTAGAATTAAGGTATTCGGATTGTTTTTTTGCAATTTCTATCATCTCGAGTAGCGTATCCTTTTTGTAGAACTTCCGAATCGTTTTTATCGCTTCCACCATGCTCGTCTTCTCTGAGGGACCCCGCTTGTAATAAGAGGTCGTGTACCGGACCCATGTGTCTAATGCAGGATCGTCCAATAGCTTTGGCCTGGTTTGGTCAAGGTGAAGGCGAAGGCTCATGAATAAGTCGTCAGGGGTCCTACGAGAGACATACCAGCTTTGAAACAACTCTGATTCCATGCGCTTCGCTATGCTCTCCGTTCTTTTGTCTGTCATCGCTGACTTGATCATATTAATCAGAGATCGGTCGCCATAGTGTCTATTCATTGTCTCCATCACGGGTCTTCTTAATTCGGGGAATGCCACGTAGAAGTCATCGAGGTACTGAATCCAATTGGCGAATTGAGAGCTTTTCAGTAGGTCGTTCCTCTGGTTAGCGAGTCGCAACATGGTAAAAAGATCTGCTGGGAGCGTTTTAACCATACGCTTCATGTCATCCGGATGGTAGCCCGTAGCTGCCAACGTCTGCCATATTGTCGTTTCCTTGCCGTGGTTTTCCCGGTTAAATGCGCTCAAATATTTCCCCCAAGTGATCACCAGCGGATTCGTAAATAGTGAATCTCCTACTTGATCAAGATTGGAACACCCTATCAAAGACGTGATCGGGAGTCCAGCCTTTCTGCATCCAGCGTTGGAACAGCTCGCTCTGCAGTTTCTTGGCCACTTTGGCGGTATCTGTCACCTTCATCGCCTCGTTAAGCATATTGACCAGTTTTACATCTCCATAATTTGCCGCCATTGTTGCTACAAGTGTCGTCTGGTACTTGGGATTCGCCGCATTGAACTCCTTCACGTAGTTAAAAATGTCTTGAGCTGCGGGCTGCTCAGCATGCCATTTTCGATTGTGTAAAGGCCAAGGCGCTTGAATACGTCGTCTAGAGCTTCTTTCAACAGCACTTTCTGCTCTAGCTCCAGCCGCTTTACTAGTTTGGCTGAGGAGGGGACATTCTTGGCCGACTCCAGTACTTTTACGAGCCTTTCGCTGTCGTATTGCGTTGCCAGCACCGACATTAAGGTCGTCTTTTTGTCGGGGTTTGCCTTATTGAGATCGTCCACGTATTTCACCCACGTCTTGAACGGGTTATCGAACAAGTCATCGCCCGTCTTGACGAGCGACAAGAACTTGAAAATCTCTTCGGGGGACTTTTGAATACTCAGCCAATGCTCGAATTGCTCCTGGTGAAGTTTAGATGCCAGATTTGATGTACCTGAAGTCTTCATTGCATCTAGTAGAATTGTTGTCAACTTCTCGTCGCCATAGCTGCTCGCCATGACCGAAATTCTCGCTATTGGCCGGTTTTTCAAATTGAAATCGTCCGCGTTCGATACCCACGTTGCAAAGTGCGGATTTTCGAGCAGTTTGTCGCCTGCTTTGTCGAGTGTTAAGAACTTAAAGACAAACCTAGGGGACTTCCGGATATCCAACCAGTGTTGGATTTGCTCTCCTTGTAGCTTACTGGCGACGCTTGCTGTACTTGGGGTCACCTTCGCCTCAAGTAGAATCTTTGACAGTGCTTCATCGCCGTAGTGTCTAGTCAATACCCGAATGCTATCTTCTGCCGTTCCTGGGACGTTCTTCTTGAAATCAGCCGCATATTTTAGCCATGTCATGACAAGCGGATTCTCGAGCAAATTATCGCCGGCCTTACCCAACTCCAGTAGTTTGAAGACATGTGTGGGTGTCTTCTTGGTATCCAGCCAATACTGGAGTTGTCGAGTTTGTAAGTCGGTAGCTAAAGCGCGAGTGTCTGGGTTCTTTTGAGCAGCGTTCCTGGCATCCTCGGCTACCTCCTCCCGATCTTTAACTATTTCAGGACCGCCATGGATCCATTTTTTCGTACTCCTACAGTACACCAGCGTGGAGCCGTCTTTACGTATAACGTTACCGCACAATCGCGTGTCGTGATCAGCAAGGTACCGGTAATATCATGCCTACGTAATCTTGTCCAAATAAACCATAGCTCCCGTCAGCTTAACTATCCGACACATTGTACAAGTTCTGGAAATGACACTTGTATCCAGGGGCTAATGGTAACCAAATATCATATGATATTTTTGATAGTAATAGTACTATTTTCGATATTAAATATTAATAGTAACTCATTTTTGCAAAAGCTAACATAATATTTTTATATTAGCTCGGAGAACTGAAAAATATTAGATACTACATGATATTTAATGATATTTTCCCACTTAAGTACGTTTCTTGCCAGCTTACCTCTGTGAACCGAGCGGAGCCAAATAACTTTTTCGATCAGGTTCTAGAAAAGCAGTAGGCTTTAAGACTGACGAGTATTTGCTCTAGTATTTCACTGTGACACAGACAAAGGCGATCGAGATGGAAAACTGCAAACGCTTGCAGCTGTTTAACGTTGATAGAGCGAAATCAAGACATTTGTTCTTGTTCTCTTCCGATCTCCTCGTCGACATCGTGCGTCTAATAAACCTGCTGCCTGTGGCGCTAGATTAATGCGCTCAGCAGTGCCAACACACAACGCCAACCTTGCCGTCACTCACAATTGTCCCGGTACTCACGGTTGATTAGTAATACTTCAGCTAATCGAGCGTTAACGACATCTGATTAGTTAATGTAGCCCGATTACGCAATCATTGAAAAATATAATATCGTATTAACTAATATTAAGTTGATATTTAATAATATCATATTGTCTCAAAAGAAAATATTAGGTGATATTTTTTTATATTAACTGGTCTACAGGTGATATTTTCACAATATTAACTTCACCGATTTTGGAGTTACCATTAACCCCTGCTTGTATCACACAAGTATCCAGAACCTGTCAGCGTTTAGGAGTCGTAATCAGCCGCGTAATCTCATGTCTCGTAATCTCGTCCAAATAAACCATTGCTACCGTCAGCTTAACTATCAGTGCATGTATCCTAAACGAGCTCTGTATTTTCATAGTCACTTGTTGATAATCGGAAACGGCAAGCAATAGTGTCAGGGTTGTCAATCATTTGCTAGTTACACACAAGACAAACTCAAACGGCTGTGAAACACTGGATCAAAATACAAGACCCAAGTGTGTATTACGTTATCGCGTAGCCTACATACTCCGTGCTAGACTCTATATTTGCTAGTCAGCGGGGTATAAA